GGGGCCAGGACTGACAGCCTCATTCTATACCGTGATGTGAAGAAAAGAGTGATCTCTAGTGCTGGGTGACACCAAAACATTTTGGGAGCTCTTATTTGAACTGGAGCAGTGAACAGTTAGGATGGGGAGAGCTTGCCACAGAGAGAGAACAGCCCAGACAAAGGTGGGTATTTAGAAGTCTCTTGGATACTGAATCTGGAGTTAGGGCTTCTTTGGCAGGCGTTGGGGTGCCCTGCAAGATCTTAGGGAAAAAAGGAGGGGAGCACAGAGCTGGGGAAGTGAGCACAGGACAGGGAGGGGTCTTAGGCACCCTGCAGTTCACAGATGGGAAAACTGAAGTCTAGGGAAGGAGAGAGAGGAGAGAGAGGGAGGGGGGGAGGGAGGGAGAGAGAGAGAGAGAGAGAGAGAGAGAGAGAGAGAGAGAGAGAGAGAGAGAGAGAGAGAGAGAGAGAGAGAGAGAGAGAGAGAAAGCTCCTTGGATATTTCAAGCTGTTCTGTTCCCCTGGTTAGAAACTGTGACCCACCCTGGAACCTCTTGAGACAGGTAGCAGTGTAGTTAGGCAGTTGGAAGGCGCATCAAAAAGTGAAGTGGTTGAAAAAGCTGGGAGTGAGCAAAGGGGATATGAAAGCTGCCTTCCAGCATTTTAAGGACCTACCAGTTTAATTCTCATGGGTCCCTTCTTAAACTGTGGCTACCAAATGTGAACATTATTGCCCAGCTGATTGGTGGGGAGGATGGGAAGGTTTTGGTTCAAGGCAAAGAGCTTTACAACAGAGCTTACTTATAGGAATGGGAGTCTCTGTCCTTTGCCTTTTTTCCAGCTCAGGCAGCTGGGAGGTACAGGTCTAGAATTTAGGTCTCCTGATGTAATGTCAGAAGGAAAAAGAAAGACAAAAACAAACACAGGAACATAAATAATAGATTCCATTTACTGAACACTGATATGTGCCAGACCCTTCATTTGAATCCTCACAACAAAGTGGGCATTTTTGTTCTCATTAAAATGAGAACAATTTCGATTAAGAAACTGAGACTCAGAGAATAAATATGTAGCCCAAGATCCAGCAGGTCATACAGCTCACTTTGAAGGAGCTAAGATTGGAACGCAGAGCTTTCTCCTGGCTTAGGGATGAGTCGCGCGTTCCTTGCCTGTTTTTGGAAGCCTGTCTGACGCGCTGGGGTGGACGGTCCGTTCGGGCCGGGTTTCTAGGTAGCTCGTGGTCAGGCTGGTCTTCTCCCCTCCCCGCAGGGCTACCAGATCCCCAAGGGCTGGAGCGTGATGTACAGCATCCGGGACACGCACGAGACGGCTGCGGTGTACTGCAGCCCTCCGGAGAGCTTCGACCCCGAGCGCTTTGGCTCGGCGCGCGACGATGCGCGGAGCGCTTCCAGCCGCTTCCATTACATCCCGTTCGGGGGCGGCGCGCGCAGCTGCCTCGGCCAGGAGCTGGCGCAGGCTGTGCTCCAGCTGCTGGCGGTGGAGCTGGTGCGCACCGCACGCTGGGAGCTGGCCACACCCGCCTTCCCTGCCATGCAGACCGTGCCCATCGTGCACCCAGTGGACGGGCTGCGCCTCTTTTTCCACCGGCTCGCGCCTTCGGCTGCGGGAGATGGGCTATGCCTCTGACTTGCTGCGTTGCGGGACACGGCTTGGCCGGTGGCTGCGACGCGCGGGCAGCGCCACCCACCTGCGGCTCCCTAGTGTGGCTTCGCGCACCCACTCGCTCATTCACTCACTCAACTAGCGTTCACCAAACGCCTCTCTGTGCCAGACTGGAGGGAGGAGAAGCTCGAGCCGCAGCAGCTGAGCCGGAGAAGTGCCCAGGCCGGTGGGAATGTGCCTCCTGCCCTCTGCACCCAGAGGAGGGAAGGTCGTGGGCCAGGTCTCTTAAGCCCTTCCCAGGATATCCAAGCAGGGATGGAGGGAACAGATCTGCACTAGGTTACTCGGTGTCACCTTCCCGGGGGCCAATGCCAGGAGGGTGCGTGGATCGGATCCGGGGCCGCGGGGGAGGGGAGATTGCACCTTGCAGATTGTGCCAGAGACACCTGCAACCCTTTCAAAGAAGTAGAGACGGAGGCGCGTCCCTGGCCTGGCTTTGGGCCATGGGAAGACACGTGGAGCAGGGTCCCACCGGAAGTTCCTCAGACAGCTGGCCTCGGGCTTCGTGCGCCATGGCCACTCTGCCCATCTCAGCGGAAACTGGGAACAATGGGCGCTTCCAGGGCTCTAAACCGCTCAACACCACCGGATTCTGCTGGCGACTTCTAAAAGAAAAATTCTTACTTCAAGAACGCATTTAATCTTCCCATTTATACAGGAGAGAATAGGCACACCAACATGTCTCTAAGGCTGGATTATTTTCATGGGAGGCTAAGACATAATCAGAGAGATCTGGGATATTTGTACCAAAAACAGGAAGGCCACGAAATAAAGTTTTCTCCCAGTGGTTGAGCGAGGAGGCCGGGGGTTAGCTAGGCAACTGTTCCCTGGTGGGGAGGCCTGGGGTGGAGGGTGGGGAGGCCTGGGAAGGACCCATCCCACGGTGTACCCAGAGAGGGGCTGGGAGCTGGGCAGCCTGAGGCCCGGGCTCTCAGGACTTCCCTCCTGAGCACAGGCCCGAAAGCCAGCAGGGCTGTGGGACCACAGGGGGTTACTGCCTCAGCATCCTCTATCACAGGGAGAGACTGAGGAGCCAGCAAGGGGAATGACTCCCCTGAGGAGCCAGCCATAGGCTCCTGGACTCCCCAGCCAGTGCTCTCCTCCTTCCCATCACTTAACTCCTCTGCCCCAAACCTCTGCACCTGTGGCCACCATGCAAGATGCAGCCCTTTTGCCTCCTTTTCATAATGATCCCTAGCTTGACTTGAGGACTCTCTCAGCCTTCCAATACAGAGGTTCCCACTGGTGTTTAAACCAGAGCCCAAAGCTTCCACCATCACTTCCAACAGCCCACTTCAATCTGCCACCCGTCTTCTGATGGTCAGGACAGCTGCCCATGATGGGTGAGCCAGGAAAATCGCTGCCTAGGCCCAAGCTGACCCCTTAGTGAACCAGAAGGAAGCCAGTGCCCTCCTGACCTTATGCTTAAGGTGGATCCCAAAGCCAGAAGGAAAGAGGGATGTAGCAGCCGTGTGCAGCAGGGAGGGTAGCTCAAGAGTGCAGTGGACCTTTCCAAGCTGGGCTGACCCCGCCATAATCACCACACAAGACAATTCGTCACCCATTGCCAGTGGTAGGGTGGGTGCCAGACCCTGAGCTTGGCAAAGGTGGCAGGATGTGGGCCTGCCCTCAGGGTGCTCTTGAAAAACCACCCAGAGGACAGCCTATCGGGAGAAGATCGCGTTGGGTGAGGAGGAGGACCTGGGTTTCAGGCTTGATTGTGAATTAGTGAAAGGGGAGAGATGTGGGGTGTGGCCTCAGAAGCAAGGACAGTGGAGCTGGGTCCAGGAAGACCGGGTTTACCAGCTCTGGGGTCTACCAGCTCTGGGCCAGCCCTGGAGGGGTGGCTCCAACTTTAATTGATTGATAGATCGCATTCAGTAATTTCAAGGAATATCTGAGCTCCAGTTTCAGTAGCTGCAGGTTCTCTGGAGAAGGAGCAGAGGAGGTTCTTGCCCCCTGAGACTTGATACTCTGGGGAAGGAGGCAGACAAGGCTGTAAATAAAATAAAACAGGCCTGTGACACAGGGTGCCTGAGGCTGAAGTTGGCTGGGTGGGTGGGGGAAACTTCTCTGAGCAGGTGACATTCGACTTTGGCAGGAACCAGCCAGCTGTGCTCTGGGGGCGGGGTGCCCCAAGCTGGGGAAGAGGCAAGTATGGGCCCCTAAGACAGGAATGAGTGTTCAAGAAATAGAAGAAAGTGTTGTGAAAGGAGGAAAGTGGAGGAGTGCTTCCAGGTCCCTGGTTCATCTGACCCCAGTGTACTCATGGGTCACCACCCCTCCCCACCAGCAAACAATACCACTCCCCACCCCACCCCCAGGCTTTAGCAATAGGGAGGCTGTTTCGTAAACATCTCGGAAACATTTTGTTTTCAGTGAACCAACTCCCCCTGCCCGCCCACCACCACCCAAGAAAGCTTGGCGAGGTTCCTAGATCAAAGTTCTCATTGGGCTGGTAATTTATTGACCCCCTTTCCCCTTTCAAGATGTTTTTTAATGATCTTTCACTCTCATATTTAATCCTTTCCTGCTGGACGCCCCCGCCAGACGCCCTCGCGGGTCTCCATGGGGAGATAGATTTTTTTTAAAAAATTTCCCCTGTGGCCATTTCCAGAGCGCAGGCCCTGCTCATCCTGTGACCCGGCGCGCGCTGAACTTGGCGAGGTGGCCCCGCAGAGTTCACTCGGATGTCACGGTCCGGCCTGCAGGGGTCACAGGCGGGTCAGGCCGGAGGATTGGGAACGGGCCCCAGGTCACGCCCCCGCTCGCCAGCTCTGCACACCGGCCGGAGGCGCTGTCCAGAAAGGGGCGGGCTCGGGGTTTCTGAGAATTACCTCCAGCGCGATTCGCCCGGGATCCTGCCGGTGGCCCGAGGTTGGCTCGCACAGTTTATAGTCACCAAAGCGTTAGAAGACATGACAGTGGGAGACTCTGAAACCCTGCCCAAAGCCTTTGAAACGCTGGGCAGCGCTATGGGGAAACGCTGACTCCCCGAAACCCAAAATCCGCACTGTGCCGACCCCGGGTTGCAGCGTTGTTGGAACTATGCGGGTCTCTAACACCCCCGCAGATTGTTTCCTGGCCCCTTGGGGCTTGGCGACCCCTGGCAGGGCAACTTTTCGCCAGCTCTCAGGATCAAAGAGTTTTCCATCTCCAAGGGAGGGTCTCCAAGGCTTTTGCAAGAACCAGTGTTCGGTTCTAAAACACGTGCGTCCCTCTGTTTCGTTTCCGGCGCTGCTGGTGCGTTCGGCGCCCAAACCGAGGGAGCGCGTGGCCCTGAGGTCGGAAGCGGCGTGGCTCGGCCAGGTGGGCCAGCAGCTCACGTGCGCGCCCAGCAGTGCCGCAGCTCCAAATTGTAGTTGGGCAAAATACAGAAGACCCGCTTCCCAGTACGGATTCCTTCAACCCTCCGATTAGCGGTCGGCAGAGGCCTGGGTTTAGGGCTGAGCACCCCTTTCACATGGGTGAGGACAATGGCTTCACTCTGGGCGGGAGCTAGGAGAGAGGAGGAAGACTCCAGTGACCCGGGTGCAGGCTACCCTGGTAACGGCAGACTATCGTGCTGGAGCTGGGAAGAGTATTTGCAACCAGACGGCCCTTTTGGGAACTCAATTACCCGTGGTGTAGACAGGTCGGGAACGATCGCCTCCACATTAAGGAGGAGGAAGCAGGCACGACGATGAGTGGTGACTTGCCCAAGGTCACGCAAGTAGAGATGGAGCTGGGACTCGGAGCCAGGACTCCTGAGCTTTCCTTCCTCTATCTCCGTCTCCTTATCTTGCCAGGACTAGGGATCCCCTTCCCCGCTGCCTAGCTGGGGCTTTGAGCCCCAGGGCCCCCAGAATCCGGCGGCTGCGGTCGGATTTCAGAGCCGATCCGGGCGCTGACTGTCGCCCGAGGATGTGTTGCCCTGTGGTCCCTCACTAGGGCGTCAGGGCTGGGGAGCAGGCTTGAGTAGAGTAGCACCTGGGTCTTCGGGGACCTGTAGGCTCTCTTGTATCCTTAAGTAGGACCTGCGGAGACTTCAAGTGTGCTGGCCCCTTGCGGGGGTGGAGGAGCTGAGATCCACCAGCCGCCGGCCATGCCCGACTCGACTCCCCGCGGGTCCCGCTCGCATCCTAGCCCTGGTCTCTTCTGCGCAGTCTTCAGAGAAGTCGGGACGTCTGCGTTATGCTTCGCTTTTGGACCTCAGTTTCCCCAATTGTGGGAGGAGGCAGCTGGGCGATTGCTGAAAGCACTTCCCCTTGCTTCCCTGGCAGGTGGAAGGGAGCTCACGTGGCGCCTGCAAAAGGAAAGCCAGCGAGGGCAGTTTGGGCTGGGGCGGCCCGTCGGACCCGGCAGGAGGGATTCCAAAGAGACCGCCAGGGAGCCTAGGGCTTGAATTCCCGCTCCTCGGAGCCCTGCCCGGGCCGCCCCTCGGAGCTCCGCACACCTTGGATGGGGCAGGCAAGCTGCTCCCAGCCCCGCACCCCAGGAGGCACGCTCGGAGGGAAGCCGCCACCGCGCCGCCTCTGCCTTGGCGCGGAACAAACAGTTAAAGATTTTGGGCAGCGCCTCGCGGGGGGAGGAGCCAGGGGCCCAATCCGCAATTAAAGATGAACTTTGGGTGAACTAATTGTCTGACCAAGGTAACGTGGGCAGCAACCTGGGCTGCCTATAAAGCGGGCGCGCGGCGGCTTTTGGAGCGCTGGCAGCGGCAGCAGGTGGCGCGGGAGGCCGAGGCGTACCATGGGGCTCCCTGCGCTGCTGGCCAGTGCGCTCTGCACCTTCGTGCTGCCGTTGCTGCTCTTCCTGGCCGCGATCAAGCTCTGGGACCTGTACTGCGTGAGCAGCCGCGACCGCAGCTGCGCCCTCCCCTTGCCTCCCGGGACTATGGGCTTCCCCTTCTTTGGGGAAACATTGCAGATGGTGCTGCAGGTAAGGGAGCTTGGGGCGAGACAGGACGCTTTCCCGGAGCTCGGCTCGGCTCTGGGCTTGCGCTGAAGCAGGGGTAGGTGCCCCGGGAAGGAGGTGACTGCGACTGGGAGCGGGGCTAGCCGGAGGCGCGGCGCTCCCCGGCGCCCCCTCACGCCCGCCTCTCTGCTCTGCCTTCCTCTCACAGCGGAGGAAGTTCCTGCAGATGAAGCGCAGGAAATACGGCTTCATCTACAAGACGCATCTGTTCGGCCGGCCCACGGTGCGGGTAATGGGCGCGGACAACGTGCGGCGCATCTTGCTCGGAGAGCACCGGCTGGTGTCGGTCCACTGGCCCGCGTCGGTGCGCACCATTCTGGGCTCAGGCTGCCTCTCCAACCTACACGACTCTTCGCACAAGCAGCGCAAGAAGGTGAGGGCGGGGTGGCGACGCCGGGACAGGGAGGAGGATCCCATTTGTTGGAGGGATTGGGGCACATAGATGTTGGGCGGGCGCTAGCAGCGTGAGGTGTGGGCTAGGAACCTCTCGGAGCTCCGGGTTAGCTTCCCAGCCCGGAGGTGCCACGGGTCTGGCCGGGCTGGGGACGGCGAGAGGAGCAGATGGAAGGTTTTCAACGCTGTCCACTCCTCGGGGCTCAGGTGATTATGCGCGCCTTCAGCCGAGAGGCGCTCCAGTGCTACGTGCCAGTGATCGCGGAGGAAGTGGGCGGCTGTCTGGAGCGGTGGCTGAGCTGCGACGAACGCGGCCTCCTGGTCTACCCCGAGGTGAAGCGCCTCATGTTCCGCATCGCCATGCGCATCCTGCTGGGCTGCGAGCCCCGGCTGGCGGGCAGCAGGGACGCGGAGCAGCAGCTGGTGGAGGCCTTCGAGGAGATGACCCGCAATCTCTTCTCGCTGCCCATCGACGTGCCCTTCAGCGGGCTGTACCGGGTAAGGGCTGCAAGGCGGATGCGGAGTGAAGGGCGCGGGAACGGGCGTTTGCTGACCGCCGCGCGCTCTCTGCGCTCAGGGCATGAAGGCGCGGAACCTCATTCACGCGCGCATCGAGGAGAACATTCGCGCCAAGATCTGCCGGCTGCGGGCGGCCGAGTCGGGCGAGGGCTGCAAAGACGCGCTGCAGCTGTTGATCGAGCACTCGTGGGAGAGGGGAGAGAGGCTGGACATGCAGGTGAGTGGTGGCTTCAGAAGAAGCACTGAGGACTTCGGTCCCCTGGCTTTCCAAGCGCGGCTCCCGGGGCCCCCAAAGCGCCCTCCTGGGGCCCAGCTTCCCGGAGTGGGCTGCCCGCCCCCACTCCACATGAGATCCTGAAGGTTGAGACCACGGGTCAGGAGAGGGTCAGGCTGCCGCGGACCTGGGAGCGTCCCCTAGGCCTTCCAGGTTTTAAAGGGAAAGTTGGAATTTGCAAAATGTTAATAAAGAACCCTTGGCGATTTTGGTAAAAACAAGGATTTAACTCAGGAGCTCCTGGTAGAGTGGGATCTTAGTCCCCTTCCTGCTCTAACTGAACTAAAGGGACTTTGCATTTTGTTTAAAGATATTGCTTTCTTTGACTTTCTATTAGCAAAACTTTTAGCTCTCCTAGTCTTCCCTCCAGAACCCCTAGTTGGGTTCTGAGTAGTCGCTGCGTAAAATTGCTTGCAGATTTGGACAAATGCTGGTCTTACTCCATTTTTAGGCACTAAAGCAATCTTCAACCGAACTCCTCTTTGGAGGACACGAAACCACGGCCAGTGCAGCCACATCTCTGATCACTTACCTGGGGCTCTATCCACATGTTCTCCAGAAAGTCAGAGAGGAGCTGAAGAGCAAGGTAGGGAGACTCTGGGGGTTCCCTATTAGCTTAGGAAATCCAGCTGCTCCCTAGCCAACTTCCGAATAAGCAAGTGTGCTGCCTTGGCTGAATATTTTGAAAGTGCAGGGCCAAGGGGTGGAGGGGCCAGTGGGGAGAGAAAATTAGCTTTGTGAATAAAAAGAATGGAATTTGGAGCTGTGATCCCACTTGGGTAGGGTTTGACCTTGTATTCCTACCCCTCCTCCACCTTTTGCAGAACCATGGAGATTTTCAGATAGGTTCTACTTTCCCGGATTTGTCTGTCCAAGGGTATGAATGGTGATAAGTGTGGGTAGTTGATCAGTGGCGGTGAATGGGGCGGGGGAAGCTTGGCCCTTCTAACTGGTGAGCAGCCTTCTGGAATTGTAAATAGGTAGCGGATTTGGGCTGAGGGGTGGAGGCAAATGGTCACTAGCTGCTGTTTCCTCCCAGCCTCTCATCATGGGGCCCTTTGGGTTTAGTCGCCACTTAAGCCCTGTTTATGTCTGCTGGGCTGATTTTATTGGAGCACACAATACCCATTCACCTCTGTATGACTGTTTTGATAGGGTTTGCTTTGCAAGAGCAATCAAGACAACAAGTTGGACATAGAAATTTTGGAACAACTTAAATACATTGGGTGTGTTATTAAGGAGACCCTTCGACTGAATCCCCCGGTTCCAGGAGGGTTTCGGGTTGCTCTTAAGACTTTTGAATTAAATGTAAGTTAAAATTTCTCTGCCCCCAACCCTCCCTTTTGTTGAGGTTTTAAAACTCCCCGGGTGCATTGGCTTAACTTCTTTATGCTTCTGATAACATTGTCCAGCCCTATGTCGCTGTCATGTTTCAACAACCTGAATCGATCTCTTTCTCTTTCTGTTCCTCTCCTCTTTTAGCTCATGACTCCCCCAAAGATATAGGTGACAAGTTTTTGTTGCTGAAAGGCAAATTTCAGTTTGTCATCCCTTGGGGCTTCATACTCTTTTGCAGGGATACCAGATTCCCAAGGGCTGGAATGTCATCTACAGTATCTGTGACACTCACGACGTGGCAGACATCTTCACCAACAAGGAGGAATTTAATCCTGACCGATTCCTGCTGCCTCACCCAGAGGATGCATCCAGGTTCAGCTTCATTCCATTTGGAGGAGGCCTTAGGAGCTGTGTAGGCAAAGAATTTGCAAAAATTCTTCTCAAAATATTTACAGTGGAGCTGGCCAGGCATTGTGACTGGCAGCTGCTAAATGGACCTCCTACAATGAAAACCAGCCCCACTGTGTATCCTGTGGACAATCTCCCTGCTCGATTCACCCGTTTCCAGGGGGAAATCTGATGGGCACGAATGCTCAAGCCTCAGACTTACTGGAAATGTACATACGAGTTTTTATATAGTGTCGTGTGGACTTTATATTTAATTTCTAAATGTATATTATAATATTTATGTGTCTCTACTATAGTAACATGGTCCTTAATATTAAAATAATGAATTTGTATAATTTCCAAATAAAGTAAAATTTGAAGGTGCTGTTCTTGCATTTAAGATTCCTGTCAGGGAAAACTCACCAGTTTAATATTTGTACTGAGTGTGTTTACCCAGATTTCTAAATGTCTACCTGGGTTTATTTGTCATCTGTGCATATCTATTTTCTGTGAGGAAGAAACCTTAGCTGTTTTTTTTTTTCTGTTAAACAATCATTAGTGGATAATATTGTGTGTGTGTGTGTGTGTTAGTCCAAAGGTATCTTTACAAACTCTTCTATAGTAGTTTAGGTTCCCTATTTGAAAAATCTATCAAAGTTAATTTTGGTGGTGTTTTTTTTTTATTTTACTTTAGTGAAAGATGAATCTGAAAAGGTAACGCTTTGAGAACTGTCATTCTAATATAACACCTTCAGCCTATCCAACATTTAATAAACATAATAAATCTATGTTGTCGGATAGTGCCAGAACTGTTCTCTGAAGTTAAGGTTTTAGATAAGACAAAGCCAGTCACTTCAATTATGGACAGTTCTTTACTAAAATGAGACCAGAAATCATTGGCATGTCACCTTTACTTAGAAGTTGCATATGAAAACAGTATTGGGAAAGGCAAGTTTCTGGTTTAGATAAGCTGAGCTCAGGTTTTCTTTATTCAAAATGAGGCAGGAGGAGCAGATTTAGCAAACTGACAGATAAAGTTTTTATCTATCCCAGGCAATAGGGTGTGAGCCTGACATGACTGATAAAATGGCCCAGTCATGACCCTGTGAACCTTGGCTAACCTCCGTGAAAGCACAGTTTTGTCACATTTCTGACCCTGGCATAGCCACGGTCTGAACTGAAGGCCAGACTCTCAATCCAGAAAGGTTAGCCCCGGTGACTTGCTTATGCAAGCACATTTTCAGTTTTGAAATGGCACAATCTGCTTACTGAACCTCTGATGGCTTGTAGGTTTTGGACATTAAAATTTTCATTACCATTTTAGAATTTGGCAATGCTGCAGAAACCAGGTGGTCTAAATAGGTGTTTGAAAAAGGGTTCTGTCTTCAATTAGAGTTACATGTTCTACCTGACTGTAGTTTTTACGTAGAAATCGGGTTGTGCTTATTTGTTGCAATCCTCTGATTTTTAAAGGGTGTTTATATGATAAGTTATAATGTCATTAAAAAAAAGAAAAAGGACATTCCAGCCTTATATAATTTCAGCCAAAGCTTTAGTGTGCTGAAGTGTGCAAAGATTACTCCCCTCCCCCCAACATTTGCCCTGGACCTTTCTAGCTAGGATAGCATACTAGCCCGAGGACATCGTTATTTCAGACAATTTATACAAGGCCACTTAAAAAAGGTCTCAATGCTTTTCATTCTGCTGGGTGACAGTCAGTCTTTACAAACAACGTCTTTGGTGACTTCATGGCTGTGTGTCTCTATGAGCACAGTGCAGTAAGAAATTTGAGCCATTTTAACATATCATTCATTTTTTATCTGGAGAGCTTCGAGGAAAAGCGCTTCTGGTTTGCGTTTCCCAGGGCTACCTTTAGCCCAATTATACTGATCAGTTACAGAGTAGTAAAGAATTTACCTCGAAAATACATTAAAAACACAATCTTTGATAATGTGCCTTGTGCAGAGTAAAGGCAGTCTAGAAGCGTGTGGGTGAGGCAGTGGACGTTTGTGGGCTGCTGTCTTGGACAGCAAACGGGCCTGGGTCCCACCTCTCAGGGGCCAGCATGTTTGGTGGCACAGGCACGGCTGGGCTGGCGGCCGTGCAATGGAGAAATGATGTAGACTTGGCCAAAACCGTGGCAGGAGGGGCGACCACTCTGGGAAATGACCCTTTGGGGTCCCAGGGGCAAGGCGCAGTGATGGAAGGGCGCCGTGGCCATGCTGGTGCCCTTTGCCTCCCCTTGCGCAATGCCCTTTGTCCCTGCCGCCTCCCCCGCCCTCTTCCCTTCGGTCATGGCTGTGGTGCCACCAAGACAGGCCGTCGTCAGGACAGGGATGGGAAAGGCTTAATGCTTCAGCGTTCAGAGGGTTTGGAGCCTTCACCTTCACCTGGCGCAGCCCTGGGAGGCCCAGGGAGTGGTTGTGATTTGCCCGGGGCCACACAGGGAGTGGCAGGCCCAGGAAAGGCCTCCAGGTGACTGGTGCCTTTTTCTTGTTGTTGTTGTTCATCTTTGCTTAAAACAGCTAATAACACCTGCCTGATTTCTTTCCAACTTTCTGTCGTCAAGCATCTAGACCCAGGGGTCTCTACCTCCTAACTTGAAGAGTCAAGTCCCCTGCCATCACTCCCCTCCCCAAGCCTGCGACAGTACAGACCAATTCTATTGCAGGCCACCAGAGGTGACTGGTGAAACCAAGACGTCAGGGGAAGTGGTTGCTCCCCCAAACCCGATCTCCTCTTGCCTTGCCACCCCCAAGAGGTCCACAAGGGGGCGGGCTTCTCCCTTCTATGCCAAGCTCAGGGCCCAGGGGTTTTCCCCACCAGTGTCCATGAACTCGAGCGTCCACAGACTCTGCCCAGGGCCTGTTTGACCCCAGACAGGGAGAGCCTGCAGACCTGGGTGCGGGGCTGAGGAAGGACTCAGCGTCAGGCCTGGTCAAGGCTGCCTGGCCCCTCTAGAAGGGGTCACCCTGGGCTGGGCTGACTTGGACCATCTTTCAGTTCCTGAAAGCAGCGGCCACTGTCCCTCTGTGGCCCCTGAGGTCACAGGCTCTGGCCTCCAGTGTTGCCCACGCACTGCGCATGGTCTGACCTTTGTTCTGTCACTCTACCTGGAAAGACATTCTGTGTTTTGAGGGAGCAGGGAGCACCGTTTTCAAAGAACATCGGCCAACTAGTCAGTGTTCAGGTGATCTTAACCAGGTACAGGGGCCATCCCACTGTGGCAGGGACTGGGGGAGTTTAGAGAGGTGGTGAAGCGTGTGCGTAAGAAGGTCAAGTGGAAGGAGAGCTGTGTTAGCACCATATAAAGGAAACATTTTGAGATGACTAGAGCCCTTTGGTGATGAAACAGGCTCTTCTGTGAGAGAGCAAGCTCCCCGTCCATGGAGGCAGCCAAATATGAGGCTGGAAGACAGAGCAGCCAGAGGAATTGAGACACAGAGGGTGCAGTTGGGTTAAAGGACCTCCAAGTTCCCTTGCAAAAATTGAACAGATGGGGAATCTTTGAAACATGATTCTGTACTCATCCGGTTCCTCAAAAGCCGACTTTACTTTGAAATGCAGATTAAGCCCAATCTAGGGAGCTAGGACATCTTCACTCTGTGGCTTGGGGACCTCTCTCCTGCCTAGTGACTTGGTGCTTCCAGTCCCAGTTCTAGAAGCTCCAGGGCCTCTCCCAGCTGTCCATGCTGCTGTGCCACTGTTCACTTGACCTGCCCCTGGCCTAATGCCCTTCCCTTACCCAGTAACCCCACCCCCACCCCATGCCCTGTGCTGACATTGGGCTCTGCTCCTCCCAACTGTCCTTTATCCCCACCTCCTGAACAGCTTGCCCAACGGCAGCCACTCTCTCATCATTCTGATCTTGTAAATTGAGTCCATTCTCAGGCACCTCTCCACCCTTCCCAGCACATACTGACGCATAGTAGGTGTTCTTTGGAAGAAGAAACTTCCTGGGGCCAATCGACACCATTTACCTTAGGTTTCTCCAACTTACATGGTGCCATGTTTTCCTTTGAAAAGTGAAACTTTCATCCTTGGAAAATCTCGGCAGCCGCAAGCTTACACGGCTGTGGTTTAACAGCATGTCACATTCCTGAAACCGACGCTCCATGGGTATTTGGCCAAACAAGCTTTCCTTCCTTTGAAGTAGAGTCAACTCAAGTTAGAACCCTGGGACAGGGGTGGAGACGTAGCCCTGGACTGTGTGGTGGGTTTTCTGGGTGAGGGTTATCGTGTTGCAGTGTTCATAATTACGTACCCTCAGCACAGAAGCTGCCCCGCACTGTGAGATCTCTCCCTGCTGTCGAAACTTTCCTAGTGCATGGAGGCGTTAGGAATCAGTGCATGCATTTCTAATGGTAGATGCTTTGAGATTTTTATCTGAGCTCACTGATCGGTTCACTTAAACACATTGTGAAAAGAGGACAAGGTGTTTTGCTTATTATACATATTTGAGAAAACAAATTCATTAAGTACAGCCAAATTGATGCATTGATTCATTAAGTACAGACATACCGTCCAACGAAACAGTGATTATTGGATAAATGAGGGCTTTTGGCATTCTGAAATGGAAGGTTCATTTAATGTCAATTAGTCACAGACTTTAGAGCTGGAGGCTGAGGACAGCTCATCTGAGCACTTCATTTTGCAGCTGAGAAATCAGAGGTTCAAAGAAATCCTAGGTTACAACAGAGAATGTGCCCAACACACTGTAGGACTTGGCCCTCCATTTAAAAAAACAACAACTATATTGTTTGTTCATATACACGTTGGGGAGAAAAAGTCAGGTGAGCAGATTATTTGAAGCCAAATTGTTACCAGGTTCTCACTATACCCCTGAGAGTGCACTGGGGCTCTCCGAGGTGCTGTGAGAACTTGGGGTTTTGTGGCCTCCAAGGATTTTACAGGAAGCCTAGCAGGAGGTACCGCTGGCATTTTTGGAGGGGCTAGGGCCTAGGTCTGCATATTGGGACAGCTGGACCCTCAGAGCTGAGCCCCTTCTACCAAACAGCACAAAATGGCTTTCAAAGGCAAGAAGTCTTACCTGTGAGAAACAGGGGTTCTCAGACTTTTTCAGGCATCAGAATCACACTAGATGGCTTGTTAAAACACACATTATTGGGCCAGAGTTTCTGAGTTGACCCAAGAATTTGCTTTTCTAGCAAGTTCCCAGGTGATGCTGATGCTGTTGGTCCTGGGACCATGCTTTGAGTACTACTGGTGAAAAAGTTTCTCATCTGTAAGTTAAGGATCATAGACTTAGGAGGGCTGGCAGGTGATGTTAACAAGCACTGTGAGCCCCGTGGGGAGACACTAGGAGGTGGCGGGTGTGCTAATGTGGGGAGCACAGGTAACCCCTACCATGGGCAGTTGCTGCT